TAATTACACCAGTGTTATTTTTGTGCAAAGTAAAACTACGGTGATTTGGTAAAAGTATTTATATTTCTACCTTCTTAGCTCGATAAAACAAAGTATAGCTAACAATATATAATTTGTTTTGGAGAAAAATGTTTTGTTCTTTCAAAATAGTTCGAATTCGCAGACTTTACATCTTCATCGCCAAATCTGGACTAAAGGCCAAGAGATTTCGAAGCCACACTAATGTAGGGCAGCCATCGCAACGTGGCTCCTATGAACTAGTACATTGTCGTGCAAAAGCAACATACATAGATTTTATGCATACATACAACATAGATTTTCTAGGTTTTCGAATAAACTGGCGTAGTATTTTAACGTGATGTTGAAGCCTTTTAATCCCAAAAAATCGTGATCATAATCTTACCGGCCGATTGCGGCACTTTGAACTTCTTAGACGATTGTCATTTTTATGCTAATTTATTGACTCCTGCTTTGACTCAGGCTCATAGTTATAAACGCACGTTTCGTTGCCAGTAACAATTCGATTCATTAACTCTTCATTAACTTTTGAAGCGGAGCATTCTCGGCACCGATCTTGTATTATTGGCTACCTTTAACATTCCAAAATGACCATGGAGAAAATGCAAAATGGTACTAGATGATACTCCACCCATTTCTGCTAATGTTTATTTTTTAAACGAGCATCTTCAAGAACAAACTGCCTTGCTTTAATAGGCCATGATTTTCCCAGAGCAAGAGTCCCCTTAAGCAGATGACGTTTCTTCCTTGATGAACTGCGGCGTAGTAACTTCGACAGTCCTTTTCTCATGATAATTTTTTTTAAAGTTTAGCAGAAAAAATAATTCCATCTACTTTTATATTTATATTTACAATTTCGTCTTTATATTAAAACAAAACTTGATCTTAATTAACAAAAACAACAACAGTTACACAAGGATACAAAAAGCTAAAATAAATTTTTGAAGAAAAGATCCACTCGACTTATAATAATCTAATAAAATAAAACATGTAATAATGTAAAAATAAGTTTTGGATAGGTTTAGATTATTTAAAAACAAAGTTTTAATAAATAAATGATTTGTGCATTACAAACATCTTAGAATAAACTATTTATCGCCATCCCAAATGGAGCAAGAAATTAAATAGTTTTTACTTCCATTGTATAAGTAATAGAATTTAAGTCTATTAAACTCCAATAAACAATATATGTTTTATGATACTGTACAGTAAGAATTCTAAAAAAAAAATAATTTAAAAATAAATTTCGCGGTAAATACGTAAATATGCTTAATATGAGTAATGGCTGTTATGACAAAAAATTGAAACGGTAAAAAATAACCAAAATGAGTAGGAATCATTAAAAAATACGCTCATTTAATATAACATAACGTATTAACCCTAACTACAGTTTATAAAAATATAAAGAACTAGCGGCCCGCCCCGGCTTCGCACGGGTATTTAACAAAAATTTTAAAATTAAAAATTATCACACACATACATAAAACCTTCCGAATATTTCGTCTTTGGTGAATAATTTTATGAATGTCTTCATCTTTTAATGAAATACCCTTGAAATTACGTCATGAAGATCGAAAGACCGCTGACCAGATAATGGTTCCGCTTTAATTACGGGACATTCCAGGTTACACGGAAAAATGACAAATAAGTCTGGTCTCCCATAGCTTTGGACATAAATCATCGCATCTTGGGTTTTTAATGCAGATAACTTGGAGAACCTGTAAATGAATATGACGTTGCAGATTTAGCGTTGAACGATATTTGATGGGTCAAAGTCTTGATTTAAAGCGTCTAAGATGAATGTTTCACCAGCCCCAGTCTCTGGAGATTACGACATAATATGTAATTCAATGTATGTATTTAATATGGCAGTCTGTGGGGGAGTCTATGTTCAGCAGTGGACTCAAATAGGCTAAAATGATGATGATGATGATGTAATTCAATCTATCTGGTATCATTTTTGCCATCATATCGACAATGTATTGAATAAAAACCGGCCAAGTGCGAGTCGTAGTCCCACACGAAGGGTTCCGTACCATTCCATTTGGTAGTAATTTCACTGTGGTAGGGTCCACGCAACAGTGTTCACTGTTGCACGAATGGGCAGGTCCGTCCGGGTAAGTACCACGACCTCACAGAATACAGGCGTAAAGTAGAAGTGTTATACATACTTCTGCGTTCTACATTCGTCTGGTGAGAGAGGTAGCCGGGGCTCACTTTATTTAAACATGGCAACAATACAGGTGTTGCAAATGCGTTGCCCTACAGGGCAGCGGTTATCACTTAGCATCAGGTGAACCGCCAGCTCGTTTGCCACTTTGTCACATAAAAAAATCAAATTTAAATATCTTTATTCAATATAGAAGTATTACACGTACTTATTGTCAAAAAACACTACTACTATTAACATTATCTATAAAAACGGCAAAAAATCATGTCTGTTTTATGGGAGCCCCACTTATTTATATTTTTTTTTTATTTTTTCGTATTTGTTGTGGTATAGCGGCAACAGAAATACATCGTTTGTGAAATTCACAACTGTCTATGTTCTAACTATGTATGGTTCATAAGATACAAATGGTGAAATATGGACAGACAGACTGACAGACAACGGAGTCTTAGTAATAGGGTGCCGTTTTACCCTTTGGGTACGGAACCCTAATAAGTCACTGTAATAATGCAATGGATTATTAAAACAGGTAGCTAACCATCAACCTAAATGCATTAAATTGCATGCATGTCACAGTTTTGTTACGCACTGTACCTTACTGAGGAATAGTCAAATAATAACCGTCTTCTTCCAATACGACGATTAAGGGATATTGTAGTGGATCAAGCAATCGGTGTAACTCGGAGACCCTTTTAAGATGGCCGTGTCTACCGTGCAGCACTATATCTCTGGGGCCTTTTAGGGTTCAGTACCCAAAGGGTAAAATACGACCCTATTACTAAGACTCTGCTGTCTGTCTGTCCCTCTGTCAAAAGGCTGTATCTCATGAACCGTGATAGTTACACAGTTGAAATTTGGTCTGGGTTTTGGTTTCCTAAGTGGTTTGACGTGAGGCAGGCGGCTAGTTGTAAAAATATGGCCAAAACCGCTCAAAACATGATTCATGTTCTTCCGACCCCACCTAGGTGGAATAGGGGCAGGAAGATGTTGATAACTTGTATACTTGTCCCTCTATTTTAAAAGTTCGCGTCAAACGAAGTCATTTGAAAGAGGCTATTGTACTTTCGGATGTTGGTTAAAAATGTCCAGATGGTGAATGATTATTTATCAAATGATTTTCTATTGGCTGTGGCGGCTCCTTAATATTGGGGAGACTAACTTTTCCAGAAGCACAGCACATACCATTTTTTTCATCGACCCATTTTTAGGCAGAACACTGAGCAGATCTTATTCATCGCTTCGAATTGGAGGGAAGACTGTTGAGCATAATGCAAAAAAGCTGATCTGTTACCGTGAGCTAAAACTCGATTACGACCTCTAGTCGTTGACATTTGTTGTCTTTCTCTCTAATCTCGTAGGCGTTGGGAACGCTCAGAGCTCGATTCCCTAGTGTGAATTTGTATATTAATATTATTTTGCTCTTCAAGCCACTGCAAACACTCTACTTGACTCTCTCAGACTTGTAAGTTTCCGGTAAAGATTCCTCATTACGACGTATTTTTGATGCCCTCGCTTGGGAAGAGAGTTTAGAAAAAGTTTCTAGAAGATGAGATCCTGATCTCTGGGCATTTTAAAATGATGTTGAACAGGAATTACCAGTATAAATGTGATTGAAAAATTATAAGAACTACTAAGTCAGTCACTAAGCTGTTTGGATAGTTAAATTACAAAATACTAACATTTTTAAACTTGCAATATCTAAGGAATGGAATGTCCGAATTGAATACTTCATATTTAATTCAAAAAGTTAAATATGAAGTAATTTATTTTTTTAAGTATTAAGACCAAGATAACAAATAAAGAGCCTTTTCTAGCGGCGGCATTTCAATCAAAATTTTAAAATAAAAGAACACTTATTGTGGCATAACTATAATAGTTTGACATATGCTGTCGCGACACTTTTTGTAAATAATGATGTGTTCTACAAAGTCGTAGTACATTATTTTATTCTATCATCAATAGTTTTCGCAGCGCACGCGATGTAAATAATATTTTAGGTAATTTTTGTACACCTTGAGTAACATAATAAATATATGATAAACTCCAATAGAGTTTTAATAAGGATCCCTAAGTTTTTTGAAAATATAATATAGCCTATATCAAGCAGGAATAATGTAGCTCCGAAACAGTGAAATAATTTTTCAAATCGGTTAAGTAGTTTCGGAGCCTATTCAATACATACAAACAATCAAATCTTTCCTCTTTATAATATAGAAGATAGAAGATTACTTAAAGTTGTCAAGCTATTAAAGTTTTATACAGCGTCGTACGTAAAATAATCGCGAGGGGAAAAAATATTTTGCTGTTTTGATTATATTTATTTATTTATTTATGACTATTTTCATTATAATTACTTGTTTATTATTAAAGTCTGCTCGTTAGAAGTAAAACGTTTAAAATAACAAAATAATTTTTCCTCCCTTCAAATGATTCGAATTAAAAGTTCATCACATTTCTTTTCCTAAAACATATTAAATAAATAATATGTTTACATTGTTTTGTCACAAAAAAAAATCTACTTATTCATTCCACATATAGGAAAATTATATAATTTTCTTTCAGTATTTCGTATACTTAAACTGTACACGGTGAATCATAATTATAATCGTTGTTAAAATACGGGTAGGTACAATAGCACTTTCACATTTTTATTTTATTTTATGTTTAAATTTTTAAAGATGAGTGTGCGGATGAAACACTAACAGATTTAGGTATTTTAATCGTTCTGTAATGTTACACAAATAAAAGCAGGTAAATAAAACAGATAATCTTCACTGCTGCAGTGAAATTTTAAGAAATATTATTCACTTACCAAATAAAAGCAACAGCAAGTCGCTGACAGCTAAACTAAACAGGTAATAGTTAGTCGCTGTATGCAACCCGGGGTTCCTCACTATAACAACGCAAACACACACGTTCCCCACGACACCAGTCAAGAATATGACCACTAGAACGATGCTGATGGGCACGATTTCGGTCAACGGTAGCCTGCGAGAACCCATCATCCACCACAGCATCTCCTCCTCGCTGCAGTCGAAGTGGGACAGATTGTTGCAGCGACTATAAAAACCGTCGTAGGTTTCGTTTTCGCGGAGGAAAAATTGCAATTCCATTTTCGAAATTTTATTCTACTCCGAAAAAAATCCTCAATAAAAATGTAAATGCAATAAAAGGATTAAATCTACGCGGACAAATATACAATCATCTCTAAACACGTTAATATACAACTGATATTATGAACATATTTGATAACGAATTTCGTAGCGAGAACTCTTTTGGAAGCTGCGAGAAACATGTCCATCCAAGACAGTTTCCCGCGCACACTGAGGTCCTAAGTCCTAACCTAACTAGCAAGCAGTAAATTGGTTCGGAGCTCGCGCGTTACTGACTATCGGGTAATGTTAACACTGATATAAGATGTCGGCAACACATAGATTGTAGTCTACAAAGATTTATCTAATCAGAGAAAGCTTTAAGAAAATTAAGAATACGTTTAGACTCTAAGAAATTGAAGATCTTAATAATAATAAATAAATATTCTTTATTGCACACCAAAACAAAATATACAAGAATCATAACTTAATTTTTAGATGATAGGTATAATATCTTATTACTAAAAATATATTTATAAAGATAATTAAAAAATACATAATTATATAGTATTACTAATATATTATTATGCCTTATTACTAAAAGTAATTTCTTCCAGGCAACCTTTGGATGGATTGGAATAAATTTAGGATTAAAGGTGTGGGTTAGTTATATTGATTAATGAAGTAAATAAATCATAACTACAAAATAAAAGAATAATAGTAAGACATTAACATTAGAGTTAATAAGTTAATATATCTGCAAAAGGCTATGTATATATATCAAATTTTGTCAAATACATATTTTTTTATATTTTATTATTTTTTTTAATTTAATTGCCTTAATTTCCACTTTACACGATTTTTAAAAATAGTTATTGACTGAGCGCGTCTAACTTCTAGAGGTAGATCATTCCACAGTCGCGCACCCTGCACCATAAATGACCTACTCATGAACTTGGTTTTCTGTGAAGGAATTTTTAGCTCCAAATTTTCTGATGATCTCAGAAACTTAGGGTGGAGTGAGTGGAGAGAGAGTTAGTTGATTAAAGAAACACCTTTAATGACCAGCTGAAGGTGTAATTGCAAATGCTTGTAATTTTTCCCTTAACCATTAACCACATATAAAAACGGCCAAAAAATCATGTATTTTGTATGGGAGCCCAACTTAAATATTTTTTATTCTATTTTTTACATTTTATTTGTTCAGAATGATCTTCATTTGCTCAGAATGATCTTCATACTCTACGATGATCAGCGTTTCAGAAATCGGGCGTCAGAATTTAAATATTTAATAAAGTTTTAACACAGTAGCAGAGTCAGCTGTTCTGTAGATTAGAATATAATAGAAATTAGAATTACACAAAAACTTAAGTAAGTTTCTTAATTTAACCATTCAATTATTCGAAATTTTGGATTTTGACGTTTTACACAAGTTTTGGAAATAATATTTACGCTATGTTTGATTAAATTTTTTTTACGATATAAAAAGTATTTAAAAAATTTAAAAAAATGGTCATTTTTATCCTGACGCCACGCGCACAGATATTTTGCGAGTAACCGAAGATGAATTACTTCTATTGCAGTTTTTGAATTCGAATATTGATGCACTAAAAGTAGGTCCTTGCAACTAGGGGTCTTTTATGGTTGACCGGACATGAAGTATAGTTTGAGATATTCCTTTCAACCTACTAATGCTACCTTTTTCATGGACTATCGCTAGGTCACATGATTATTTTATGAATAAATATTTTTTCTATCAAGATGTTAAGGAAACCCTTCGGCAGGTTTTCAATACCGATTAGCAACATATAAAAAAATCTGATTTTAATCGATACAATTAATTTAATTGCCTTAATTTCCACTTTCCAGTCAGTTTTAATAACTGGGCACTAGTTATTGTGCCTTAATGAATCATGATTTGAATGTTACATAAGAAAATTTCTGAGCGGTTTTCGTGGTAAACGTTAAACTACTGTAATATAGTTTAAACTAAACTTCTTTAAAATCCCACATTACTACTTATAAATATTGGCTTCTACCATTATTCGCAAGATCTATTAGTGGTGGCTAAAATCGAACGCAACGCCACTCGGCACGCTGGGCTAAAAGGTAACTGTAAACAAAACAATGTCGATAATCGATTTTTTTACTTACCATGTAGCCATTTTAATTGTTAATGAGTCATATAAGGAAAAATTTTAGAAAAGGGGCAGAAGAAAGGATAATATATAAAAGGGGACTCAGTCTGTAGGAATCTTTTGATATACCCAAAAAATAAAACAGAGAGTCTGGACTGGGACTCGAACACGCACTGAAAAAGAAGTTTAATCTCACTGTCAGGAAACTGGTATAATCCCTACAGTAATGCCAATTTTAATCATGGGACTAGCCCATGCTATTACAGCTTAGGAAAGGTAATGGTGACGCCATTGATTTTCTCATTTTAACCTTAAGTTGGTAATTAAATAAAATGTAATAAGCAGCTGACTGTTTACAAATTGTTTGACTTAAAAAAATGTTTTTTTACAGTTATGAAAGCGTTAGTTAATATTTATTAATTGATATCTGCAATTCGTAATGGTTTATAAATTAAAAAATGAAATTGGCAGGCATTGTAGGAACATCACTACATAGTACGAGTATAAAACAAAGTCATTCCGCTGTCTGTCTGTTCCTATGTACTTGTATGCCTAGATCTTTAAAACTACGCAATGGATCTTGATGCTTTAGATGAATAAGTTGTTAATGAATTTTTTTAAAGTTATAGCTTTTAAATAAAGAATTAAAAATGCAGAGTTTTAACGATTTTTGTTTTTTTTTTTTATTTTATTAAGGCATACAAACAAATGTACAAAAATTGATAAAAACATTAACATATTACACATCAAGTACCAAGTATTTTTTTGGTAAATCATAAAAATCATCAAAATAAAAAAATAAAGAAAATGATATGGTATAGAAAAAAAGTAAAAAAGAAAATAAGTGTGTAAATGATCTTGATACGAACCGCGGCCGTCTGTTTTGGGGCCGCCCCATTACCGACCGAGCTATTAAAAAAATACTGCTAAATTTACTGTCATATTTGAATGATATTTTTCATTCCCTGAAAACATGGATAAAAGGACATTTTCTAAAAATGAAACCTAGCTAGATCGATTTTTTCGCCCCCGAATCTACGCACATACTAAATTTCATGAAAATGGCTGAAGCCGTTTCATAGATCCCGATTATATATATTGTAAGAAGATAGGAGGGTAGTAGCACACTGCAACGGCCTATAAAAGGAGCAGCGCTCGTCGTGTTCAGAAGTCAGATAATAGTCGAGCCGAAGTCCGGCCCTCTCGGACACCCTCGAATCGGAATGCTAAACGCGTGTTAAGTGACAGCCCAAGCCGAGGTCCCCTCTCGGGGACCCTTGAGCCTGATCACTCCATGGAGCGCGTGCCGAAGCTCCCTAATAGCTTGGCGGCCTCCCAAACCGGTGAAAATAATAGCGTGATGCCCGGCCACCTCATGCCCTTCTCGTCATGCGTTGTAGGAAGCGGAAGCGTCGGAAGCTCTACCCGAATTAATAGCGATTTTGTAATTTGGCCCCTTGCCCAATAAATTCTTTTTTTAAAAATCAATCATCGTTTCTATTTCCTTCTATTTACAATATATATATATATATATATATACAAGAATTGCTCGTTTAAAGGATAAGAGATACAGCCGTCTTACTCCCCAAATTCGATTCGAATTGTTTTTGTTTGAAAAGCTTCCTCCCGAACCGAATCGAAACTAGAAATAAGATCGTGCTTTATCAATTCCGTTAACTGTATCCGGCCTATTACGTCATAGACAAAAGTTCCATGTTCACCGTTATAACGTCTTTTTTTAGATAAAATGTTAATAGGTTATTTTTTTCCGAAAAATTTTTCGAATTTTGTTAATTCCCATTAGAGCCACCACTCCATCGTGCGCTGGCGTCAGATTCAGTGGTACGAACTGTCATGAATTCGAATCAAACTCGATTGATTCAGAACTCGAATCTGTCTGGAGTAGGCCTGCAGATAAGTAGGTGTACATTCAACACTGTATACCCAAAGTTATGTATAGATATAATAAAGGTAGCGAGATATGTTTATACATGTAATTTTAATTTATTGTATATTTAAATATTCAGTAAATTTTTTTAATAAGAAGTCGTAGTAGCAAAAATATCCATACTTGTAAAGTTGTATGATTGCACTATGTGCGAGCGTAAACCGTTCGACATTTATTTACATGGCATAATTTATGAGAGTATTTTAGACGGATGCATTAAGAACGATTAGGGATGCGATAACACAAATTATTGTTAAGAGGGATGCAATCTATAAGGTTATGACAGATTTTGTTTAAGTAGGTATAACGCATCACTCAAAACTCTTCTTTTGTTCAAAGGCAGAAGGGAAAACCTATCTAAAGCTTGGGAGTAGGAAAAAGAGAGGGGCGGTAGCATCTGTAATAAACCGTTTTTAAAAACTTCCATTGAATACGTACCATCTAATTACTATACCTTTCATAAAATGGACGTTCCAAACTATTGCGGCATACTCTAGGGTTGGTCTAATTAAGGAGTTGAATAAATAAATATGTGATAATGGTCGCCTAAAACGTTTATAGATCTTATTACAAAACAGAGCGCACGAAATACTTTGTCGGTGATATAATCCACATGATAACCTAGGTGAAGTTTAGAGTTTAAAATAACACCTAAGTCCTTGATCGATTCAAGGCAGTTTCGACTCAATATTGTTGATGTTGTAAGGAAAATAAACTACATCACGTTTTTTTGTGAATTTTATTCTCTTACATTTGTTAATACTCAATTGAAGTTCATTCTTAACACATTAGGCAAATAAGCGATTAAGATCATTTTGTAGCTTATGACAGTAATTTACGCTCAGTATAGGTAAGTAAACTTTTAGGTCGTCTGCGTACAGGAGAAAATTGCAGTGATAAAAACAACTGTATGACAACAATATGTTGAGCACCCCAATCTCAAATCATTCCAACCTAATATTAATGTCCTTATGTTACTGGTAATTATGAAGTTTAATTAACTGTACGTTCATATTTAAAATCATTCAAGTCACATACCTAAGTACAAAAAATTGTACAAAAAATCACATAATAGAGAAAACTCTTGTTTTGTATTCTCTATTCCACGATTCTATTATATCTATTATATCTCTATTAAACTATTAATATAATATAATATTTATCTACCGGTAGATGTCACTAAAGTTGAAACCAGTTATAACCTGCTATTAATATAATTTTTACAAGCTGTAAAATTAGTAAAGTTAAGTTTATTAATCCTTGCTTTTTTCATAATTAGAGAATTCTGTACAGTGTCATTAATTAATTATAACGCTTGCGTTAAGTTTCTTATTATTTTATTAATATTGCAACACTAATTATTTGCACGACCACGGACCACTCACCACCATTTTAATTTTAACTTTGACACAAGTGATGGTTGAAAAAGACTGCAGAAATATTAAAATTAAGGAATCGTTTTATCTAAACTTGTAGTTAAATTCCTAATTTGTTATGTATCAATACATTATAGTCTTTAATGTAAAATAACTGTAAACGTATGAAAAGTGCCTGAAGGTGACCAAAGCAATATGACGTCCCAAATGACAAACGACATAAGTGACATAGGAATGACAAATACAGAGGCAGACTCTTCGCAAGCACACGCTCATGAAGGTAAATAAATAAACAAGAATGTTTTGCTGTATTTTAAAATTGTGTATTATTTGTTTTATATGTAATTAATCAAAGAATTAAATTCAATTAACCGACTTATTCATTATAATATCCCATATTAAATGAAAAGATAGAGAAACTCATTATATATTATTAAATTAAATTAAAGATTATTAGTTTCGTTTCAAAGTTAGACTAAATATTTAAATCCTAAATGTTACTTTACAGTAATTAGTATCATTATATTATCAAAATATGTTTAACAAAAGTATTTTCTTACTAAATAAGTCAAACTGCACCTTATCTTACAAAAACACCACTCACATTATTTCAAGTGCTCGGAATTAAAGTTGATATAAACCTATTGATTAAAAGTATACAATTTTGAAATAATCCATTTCACTATAATATTATGTAGGTAACTGAATGTTAATGTTAGTGTTATCATATTCATTTTACCATTCCTAGTTTAACCCTTGTGATTATCACTTTGAAACACTTAATTGTACTACTGTTTATTTTGACTTAATACTAAAAACAAGTTTTAATAGCAACATCAAGTGTAACTCCCGACGATGCAACCTCCAGCAATGCAGCTACACCATCGGGGAGCGAAGGAGCATCAAGACAGTCTAATCTTCAACGCATACAGCATAGAAAACAGCAAGTTTACAATTGGCCACATAACAAGAAACTACTTAAACTTGCTATATATTCTGCTTGTCAAGTGAGTAGTTACACTCCTCCTGTTATGGGTACAGGTATTACTAATTATATAGTTTTTACACATTGTACCACATCAGTGATAAACTTGTCTATATCGTCATAAACAATTGTTGGTATTGATATATGTTATAACTATTAAATGAATTCTGCCACAGAAAGTTTTAAAAAAAATTATTCGAAAAATCAATTATGTTAGAAAAATTTGAATTATATTTTAACCTTAGTATTTCTTAACAGCATGAACTGTATAATAACTGTACAATTCCTAAATCTAGGCAGTAGAGAAACAATAAAATGCTGGTACAATACTCTAATTTAAATGTAAAGTCACAAATTATACATTTATGTCCCTTAAATATATAAATAAATAATTTATTACATATTTGTATGCAAGGTGCATACAAATACAATAAGTAAAGTATCGGCCTATACATGTCCCACTGCTGGGCAAAGGCCCCTTCTGTACAGAGGGTATCAGGGCTCAGTCCACCACGCAGTCCCACTGCGGATTGGAGAACTTCACATATCTTCGAAATATATTTTTTTAAATTATTATTTCGAAAATATGTAGGTTTCCTTACGATGTTTTCCTTCACTGCTGAGCACGTGATAATTCAGCACTTAAAATTAACAATAACATTGGTGCCGACACCAGGGATCGAACTCAGGTTGCTTAAGTATATTGAATTTAAGGTGAGCACCGGGATACTAAGCTATCATACAAATATGTGATAAAATATTTCTTTTTTTTGTAAATTCCTATTACAATAAAATACTGTCACTTTTATTATATTAAGTGCTATTCAACCATTAGCATTTAGAACATTTAACTTACATGGGACAAGTTAAACAGACTAACTAAGCAGCAACCTAGGCACTGGCCACCTCTGCTTTTATAATTTAAGTAACGAATTTATTTTTAGACTCCTGATTGTAACTGTAATGGATGGAAGACTCCTATCCAGCAACAAACGGCAAAAGCAAATGCAAGATCAGATAGCCAGCCATTAGCCAATTTCACGGACCCTTGCCGCAATTGCAATCACATATTGGGTTGGTTTTTAGAAAAACTTTTAAAACAACATATGTTAATTGTATGAATGGTAAATGTCATGTAATTAAAAGTAACTATTATAATGTAAATTTTCTCAGAAAAACATGTTACCCAGTTGCAAGGATTGGCGATGTCGGAGGTTAATCGTCTTTTAGGGGCTGTGGTAGATGTAGAGAACATTTTCATGTCAATGCACAGAGAAGATGATCATGATACCAAGCGTGTTTATTATTACCTGTTTAAGGTGAGTTACTACTAAACCATGTGAAAAAAACATATCGCCCATAGTCCTACAACTACCTTTAAGTGCTTGTTCACGTTAACTTGCGGGTGCGGTCACGAAATATCAAACATATGACTTTAGTATCCAAGTGTACACGTACGAAACGCACGTGCGGTCGAAGTAGCGGGCAAACTAGCGGCAAAGGCGCGCTGCGCTCGCGACATTTTCAAACGATTGAGACGTTTGTGCGTTTTCACGTCGAACTAGCGACGTAGCGCGCTTTTCACTCGCGACGTTAGGTAAGTTGAACCATTTTGAACTTGTCGCTAGAAATGATATCACGTTTTTTATGTCTTCTTTTGTAATGACACCCCTTATTGAATCCTGTATGTAATCAAAACAGTTAACAGTCATCCTGGTATATCCCAAAAAATCTTGAAGGATGTTCTCTCAAATTACTATGTAAAGTATGAAATTCAACACCGTTCTCTTTCTTTACTAATTTGTTGCACACCGATTCCAAGTTTTATCATCTTCCGCTTAAGGTATGAATTTTCGGTTAAAAATAAAAGATCGTCGTCCATGTTTTCAACCTCTGAAAACACGTCACACTCGCGCAAACGCTTGACGGCTAACGTGAACACGATCGCAACGTCTACCGCGCCCGCGTGATCCCACGTGAACAAGCACTAAAAGGTTACTTTTACCCATCTAATGAAACCAAAAGTATGCTACATCCACTTCGTGCTGGTTTTCTGTAAGGTTGTAGTTTGATAACTCCATGCCGCAGTTACCAAGGTATTGGAGTTGTCGCTGAGGGTCGAGGGTTCAATTCTCACGCAAGACAACTGTTTGTTTGACACAAAGATAATTTGTTTCGCACATGGGTGTTTGTCCATGTGAAATTAATGTTTGTAAAACATCCTTACAACATGGCATAGTGAAATCCCACACAAGACAATGTTTTCGAAGGCAGGACTACATAAATCTTTCTAAGTTGCAGTGGTCATTAGGACTTACTACTCAGCCCCTTTCACACAAAATAGAATACAAGGTTGTGGTATTTTCCTGGTTGGCTCACCCTGTGTGTGCAACAATGTGAGCTATCAATAACTCTATATATGTACATTATAATGTCAAAAGCTCTTGGTATTCATTTATTCATAATATCGTTTTCAGTTTTAAAGTAGCCCCATTGACGACTCAATAAAAAATCTGTCCATAATAAATCATATTTTTGTCCTAGTTATTGAGAAAGTGCATCCTGACACGGTCTCATCCTCGCATTGAGGGTCCACTGGGTCAACCGCCGTTTGAACGGCCCTCCATAGCTAAGGCCATCACTAATTTTGTCCTGTACAAATTCAATACGCTGCCACAGAGAGAGTGGCAGACAATGTATGATCTGGCTAAAATGTTTCTGCACTGTTTCAACCATTGGAATTTTGAGACTCCAAGTGTTAGGAAACTGGTGAGTTACAATTATGTCTACATACTTTGTACTTTTCTTATCTTATAAAATTTGCACTGCACCTTTAAATTCCTCTTTAATGTAGTACATATCAGAATTAATTTAACATGCCCATTTTCTGTAATTTTAATTAATTATTATTTTGTTTTCAGCAAGTATCTAATCCAGAGGACATATCAGCATATCAAATAAATTACACAAGGTTAATGTTTTTCTTTCCTAAACTAAAAATGAACACAGATTCAAATCTTCTCCATGAAAAAAATGTCTTATTACATTTGTATTGATTTTCTTCGATGTCCTCCAATTAGAAAACTATACCCTTATACATATGTGAAAAATCATAATGCTTGTTATCTGAACACATAAATGTCAGGTACCTTTCTTTAATATCTTACATTTTTATTACACAATACAAAAAAACACACTCCGCCCACAGATGGTTGGTGTTCTGCCACGTGCCGGCGTTCTGCGACTCTTTGCCCCATTTCGAGACGTCGCTTGTGTTCGGGCGGACGTTGCTTCGCGCCGTGTTCAAGTCTGTGTGCCGCCAGCTGATGGACAAGTGCCATTCGGAACGCGACCGTATGCCGCCCGAGAAAAGGGTCAGTTTCCCACGCACTCCCAAGTTGATGCATTTTTTATGTGAAAGTGGCAACCAAGGTGGCAGGTCGCCTTATGTTAAGTGATGACCTCTGCCCATTGACATATACATATAATACCCGTAGGGTTGCAGATTTTCACTCACCGAACGAAACGCAGAAGTATAACACTTTCACTTCACGACTGCGTACTGTGAGGTTGTAGTACTTACCTGGACGGACCTGCCCATTCATGCACTATCGTATGACCTGGTGAATATTAGGAGCCAGGAACTGTTACCGACCATCAACTTTGTTAGAGTTGTTGGTTTGTAGGTTTTCTAGCTACGAATTGAATACAACAATAGATCTTTAGATTGCAGTGGTCATTGGTACTTACTTAAGGGGTGGGTCCTTTCACACAAATTATAATCATCCCAGTCGGCCTATGCTTTGGGCTGTGGTATTTTGCAGCGCCCCTCTCGCCTCGACAGTATGACCTTTGGAGTTTAATTTCTATATTATATATAAAAAAAACTTACAAATCTGCAAACTTTACTATAGTCTCTAGTACTAGAAGAGAAAATATTGTCTTATAACAATTTTAATATGTCAAAATTCCTGCTGAAGCTTACTAACTTTTGACACGATAGATTTTTTTGCAGTTACTAACTTTGTAAAAGCCTAATTACATAGGTACTTTATTCTTTCGCCTCCTAGATTTCAAAATCCTTTCTGGATGCTAATCTTATTTACCTACTCGTTTGCAAATTTCTATGTGCGCTTCTTATTCCCCACTGTCCTGTACTGTGTAGTATCAGTCTGATATAATTGTTAATTTTATAATGTAATTCTTGTTTATTTATCAAATTGTTCTCATCCACGGCAGGTATTGGTTCTGACGCACTTCCCACGTTTTCTGGCACTGCTTGAGGAAGAGATATTTAGTGTCAACTCACCCATTTGGGACCCAGAGTACAAGCAAGTGCCACCTAATCACCTGCAAGCGATATTAGATAACAAAAATAGTGAGTTTTGCATTGTGTTTGTTAACTTAATCTTATGTTTATATATAGGTAAAAACAAACAATTTAAAAACAATACCTAACTATAAATAATTTTTGTAACTCTCCTAATCGTTCCCTCCCAACAAATATTTTTAAGTCTCTGTTATATCTTCTTACCTTATACTTACAAATTGTACTTAAAAGCTTAATGAAAACCTTTAATTTAAACCATATAGTTATTACCACTAAAGTACAGCCTATACATGTCCCACTGCTGGGCAAAGGCCTCCTCTGTACAGAGGGTATCAAGCCATAGTTCACCATGCGGCCCCCTGCGGATTGGCGGACATCACATATCTTCGAAATATGTATTTTTTTGTTATCATCTCGAAAATACGCAGGTTTCCTCACGATGTTTTCTTTCACCCCCGAGCACGTGTATGTCAGCACTTAAAACCAACAACTTCATTGGTGCCGGAACCGGGGATTGAATTCGAGTATGTTAAAGTTAAATTAAAGGCGAGCGCGCAGACATAGAACCATCACGGCTCAGTTACTCATTACTAAGTTGTAATAATAGCAATATAATAATAATAGGAAAAAATTATATGAATAAGTAGGACAAATGTAAAATTGTTCCGCAGGTGGACGGCGTGGGGAGTTCGAGAGGGTCACCGCGGCAGGCGAGAGCAAGGACGGCTTTACGACCGTCTCCCTATCCTCAGGTGACCTTCAGTTTCTCTTCTATCTCCTTCTGGAATTTTACAATCTATACAAGTGGAAGTTAGGTAGACACTCAAGATGAATCAATTCTGCAACCACTTCTCCATTGTCCTTTGACAATTGATTCTGGTAGGCATGGTGAAGCGGTTTTTAAGAAAACGAAAAACATGTTTCTCAATAATCAACACTAGCGGGCTTGATGAAGTAAGTTTAATAAAATTATGGTATTTTTTTGTTTTTTTTTTTAATAGCCACCTGCAGGCGCGGTTCAGCATGTTTAAAAAAGATAACAAATATTTTATTAATCTACTCTGGCAGGCACAATGAAGCAGACTTTACACAACAAATTATGAAATATATTTTAATAATCGATTGGCAGGCTTGGTGAAATAGTTTTATGAAGAATCGAAAATATTTTTGTAACAATCGTCTTTGACAGGTTTGGAGAAGCAGGTTTTATTAATGATAGGCTTTTTGAAACATGATTTACAAAGACGGGAAGACATAGACATGTTTTATGAAAATTAAAAATAATGTTTCATAATTGACACTGGCAGGCACGGTATAGCACGTTTTATGATAATTATATTGTATATATGTTTATAGATATATTTATGTATATAATCATATGTATATAGTATATTATAGAAATATCTCGGTGCACTGAACACATTTCTGGTTACCTTCAATCACATATTTCTCTCACCATGTTAGCTGGCAGAGAACTCTGCATTGAGTTAAGCTTACCATTTGTACATAACTTACATTTTTAATTTTTATTTTGTATCCTGTATTTTGTGTGCAATAAATAGATTTAAAAAATTAACAACCTATACGGTAGGTTCGGTCAACTTGGCAACAACTACTTTGGCAGGCTTGGTGAAGCCGGTTTTATAAAATTAAAAATATTGTTTCATATTCGACACTGGCAGGTAAGGTGAAGCAGGCTTTATGAAATTAAAAAATTACCAAACGACTCGAGCAGGCTTAGTAAAGTAGGTTTTATAAAATTAAAAATATTGTTTCATAATCGCCACTGGCAGGCATGGTGAAGGTTTTATAAAAATTAAAAAAAATCGTAACCGCCACTGGCAGGAAGCTGTTATGAAAATTAAAAAAAATCAATCGACTCGGGCAGGGTCGGTGAAGCAGGAGGGCGCGAAGCGGGCGGCGGAGTCGCGGTCCGGCGAGGCGCCCGGCGGCGGCGCCAAGCGGCGGCGGCTGGCGGACGGCGACGGCGATGACGTCAGCGAGCGCACCGTCGCCGAGATCGTCGCCACCATCACCGACCCCAACTACATGTGCGGGCCCGACGTAAGCGCGCGACCAACACGGGCCACATACGACACTAGCGCACTCTAACGGCCGCTTTCTGAAACGCTGATCATAGTAGATGTCAACTAATCAGCTGTCAAATGGTTCTCAAATTTCATTTTAGTTGCAAGGATGGTTAAACTCTTTGGATTGATCGTTCTGATCATTAGATCATTCTGGTCAATTCAGAGAGTTTAACCGTTCTTTTGGCAACTAAAATGAAATTTGAAAAACCATTTGACGGCTGATTAGTTGACAGCTACGATGATCAGTGTTTCAGAAACCGGGCGTAACTCTTTCGAATAATACGTTCTACATCATCTGCCACATTCACTTATAGCAGTATGGCGTTACAACCACAACAATTAATGAACACGCTTCCAGCGCTACTTACCAATCATAAAAAAATATAAACAATAAAAAAAATCCATAATTAAAAAAATAATTATCTAACAAACTAATTAAATAAGAAAGAAATAAAATTTCTTAACATCTATACAACTGACTGTTCTGTTAGAAGGAGAGACTTGTAATGGGAATTACAAGTCTCTCCTTCTAACAGTATGTTTTATTTCTTTTAAATTCATTCAACCAATTCATATGCTTTGTGATCTTTACAATTGAAACATACGCTACAATTTTATGCGTAAGGGAAGTTTGTAGTTTTTTGTAGATGGAAAATATTGATGTTTAGAGAAAGCAAATGTTTATTTAAAAAGTTGTCCTTAATAATATGTGTTGATTTTTAGTCGCGTTACTAGCGCCAAGTTGTATATGTCATATATTGTAAAACGGAACAATTTTTATACCCTGCACAGTATGGAAGTGCGTCATGTACATTATTAAATATCATTGGACATGACGAGGTTTCGATTATATTACCAGCCGTTTACAATATTCTGTCTATCTGTAGATTCTGTTACTATTGATAGGTATTTAACATTAGCTCCACGTATTAACTTACGTCAAAAACCCTATCTCCAGTAACCGAATCTATAGATAGGAAGTTTATTTAGATTTTATAGTAACCGTGGTACTAGCTTACCTCCGTCTCACATAAAAAAAAAAAATTCGCGTTAAAAAGGATTCGCGCCCAGGATCCACCAGACGGGGCTCGATTCCCGTTTTCGTACATTTTAGCACTATAAAAATTACAAACTCAATCGTAGTTGAATCGTTCATCTCAGGCGCTGTTCCAAATGCAAGCGCCAAGGGATGAAGCCGCCAAGCTGGAAGAACAGAGGAAGATGATAGAGTTCCACGTGATCGGGAACTCACTCACGGGCCCAGTAAACAAGCAGACTATGCTATGGCTCATCGGTGAGTGTCCTCAAACGCCATAGGACAGGTAGCAACTATTCCATACCAAGTTTATAAAAGCTGTATGACTTTTTTTTTTTTTGGGCTGGATGAGCCACTGTTGGCCTTAGGGGCCTTTACAGATCCGACGGACTTGAGGTGGCCTGGACCTCTGCGTACTATTATTACGCGTTATGGTGACTAAGCTCGAGGGCTCCCGGGGGAGCCTCGGCTCGGGCCGTCACGATATTATTATTACCGGTTTGGGAGGCCGCCAAGCTCTTAGGGCGCTTTGGCGGGCGCTCCATAGAGTGATCAGGCTCAAGGGTCCCCGAGAGGGGACCTCGGCTTGGGCTGTCACTCAGTACGCGTTTAGCATTCCGATTCGAAGGTGCCCAAGAGGGCTGGACCTCGGCTCGATCGGTAGCTATTATCTGACTGGTTAGCTGTATGACTGTGGTAGGTCTTTTTATATGATAATTAAGTCTCTGACTATTAATCGGACAAGTTCCGTACAAACTTCATTATAATTATCTATAATATTACACCACTTGTCTATTTAAAGTGCGCGAAATATCAAAGTTAAGTTTATATCTCTTACTTATTACAATAAGGTCTTTTGTGTAATTCAGCATAGATTTATTTTCCGATAATGGGATATACTTAGAGATGGCACGGAAGAAACCCTATGCAGTGGTAATCAAAACGAATACCCCTTGTATCTTTCAGGCCTCCACAACGTGTTCTCACACCAGCTGCCTGAAATGACTAAGGAGTATATATCGCAACTGGTCTTTGATCCGTAAGTTATTCTAATGTCCATATAAAATGTTATATGACAATGCGATTGGCGTATTAGAATAAAGTGTGTTGAATGTGTGCGTTTTTCCAGTGCTGGATGATTATATATCTATAATATTTATGTACTCATTTACAAAAGAAAATTATGTTTATCATTTACCTAGTAAAATACATGATTTAGATGATTGAAATCACACTATTTTAATCGTTGATTTAAATTATTTTATTTTAAAAAACCGCCTTTTTTTTAAGCGACAAATTCGTCATAATATTATTACACCTTTTAATACCATAAAGATTATAAATCATGTTCTATGTGCAGTTCCATCTAGTCAGTTTTAGTGAGTGTATGGCCAAATTAGTTTTCTCTTTAATCAACATCAGTGTTTAGTTTTAGTTATGGTTAAATGTTATCTTGTATTATGCCCTGTAATAATAGTTGTAAGTTGATGTATAAAAAAAAAATAAAAAATAAACATGAATGGGAAAAGTAATTATAGAATTCTTTATAATAAATTGTAAACGATGAGAAAGATTATAATAAAAATAAACAAAGAGATGTCCTTTCATGACTATTTATGAAAAATATTTGAATATAAGAATAAGTAAAAAAAAACTATTTTGATCAAATAAATTTTAATAGAATTTTTTTTCTCAACCCTGCCCAGTGTCCATAATACAAGTTTTGCTTACGATTAGATAACGTTGTGTGAAATGCGTTTAGAAATACTTATTTATCTACTAATGGACTCAACAGATGTAGTCCTGTACGCACGATTTAAATCCGACAACAACTTGTATATAAAAAAATTAAAAAAAAAAATGCCAATCTAAACCATTCCCTAATCCACTTGAACACACACAACACATAGCACAGGAGAATCATCTTTTATATATAACTAGCTGCTGCCCGCGACTACGTCTGCGTAGAATAGGCTGAAGGTGTAACATTAAGACAGAAAGACAAATATGCATAAAATATGTATATAAATTATAGGCTATGTCTTATTCTGATGTATAAGCTATATTATTGTAAAGTTTCATTAAAATCCATTCAGTAGTATTTACATAAAAGAGTAACAAACATCCATCCATACATACAAACTTTCGCCTTTATAATATTAGTAAGGATTCTTCTGTACGTGTGTATGTCACTGAACTCCTAAACGGCTGGACCGATTTTAGTGAAATTTCTTCAGGTCGATTCGAAAATCGATTAGATTCACAATTCGGGCCATTGCATTATTTTTATTTCATTTCTAACTTGTCGAATTTAAGTCGTGTGTACAGGACAACCCCTGTTCGGTCCGCTAGTACGTATGATATGTAATTGAATATGATGATACACTAGTATGAATAAAAATGTATGTGATGTCTAATTGGGCATAATTTTCGTTTGTTGTTACAGAAAGCACAAAACATTGGCCCTGATCAAGGAAGGGAGACCTATTGGCGGGATTTGCTTTAGAACTTTTCATTCACAGGTACAAGCTTTTCTTAGTGCCATTTCTATGTTTACAAACTGGAAATGAATTTCTCAAGTTTCTTAATTAATATTCTTGTCTGTTAACCCTTAAATTCTTACTTGATTTGGTCTATATTAGCCTAAAGAAAAAAATAAAAATATGTATTGTGTTTCTAATAAGAATAACAATAAAAATAAAAGTATATACAATTTTCTAAAAAATATATGTCGTGATACGTTCATTTAATTTAAAGTTATTTTGATGGAACAACAAATATTATAACCAGCACATATTCAGTGATGTCTACTCTTGCTGTCTAGAAGTGGGGCAAGCGGTGCAGTTTTTAATACAATAATAAAATGAGAAAGATGAAAAACACATAATAACACTATTAATGCAAATCAGATCAATCAATTTTAGCTAATTGTTTCAGATTTGAATGTTTGTCCATGTGATATTTATGTATGTAAAACATACTTACAAAAACTTAATTATTTTAATCTACAGTAAGGGGGCAATATTATAGAAGGGAAGATTACAATAGAACAAGGTCGCAATGATTGTTGCGACTTACTACCCAATGCCTTTCACACTATATGAAATGCAAATCAAGCCAATAAACCAATCTTACTTAAATACCATAACAAATCAGATCAATCTTACGTAAATACTATTACTATCTTACTATACTAATAATTTTCCATTTTCAGGGTTTCAGCGAGATAGTGTTCTGCGCAGTGACCTCCAACGAGCAGGTGAAGGGCTACGGGACCCACTTGATGAACCACCTGAAGGATTACCACATCAGGAACAACATCCTTCACTTCCTGACCTTCGCGGACGAGTTCGCCATCGGTATGTGCATTTCTGACTTTGTGCGGAAAGAAATTTGTGTATACAATGTGTGATTTCATTTTGATTTTGTTGTTAAGGAGAAAAATTTTGCCTGTATCCAATTTATGAAACTACTATAATTTTATTAATTTGTTTTATTAGTTACAAAATACAAATTAATATTATAAACAAATTAGGATTCGTTTCACCCTCTGATTAACAAAGGTTTTTTTTTGTTTTATTACAATAGTTAAGTATATACCTTAATATTTGTAGATCAAATTACAAGAAGGACAAAATTTTTAAATAATGTTTTAAGTAATTTAGGTCAGCTATGTATGTATAGTGTCTAATTTAGTTTTTTTTAACAATGTGACACTAAAAGTAGAAGTAAAGTAACAGCCCCACTGCTGGGTAAAGGCCTCCTCTATACAGAGGGTATCAGGGCATAGTCCACCACGCGGCCCCACTGCGGATTGGCGGACTTCACATATCTTCGAAACATATATTTTTTTTATTACTATTTCGAAAATATGCAGGTTTCCTCACGATGTTTTCCTTCACCGCGGAGCACGTGATAAGTCAGCACTTAAAGTTAAAAACTTCATTGGTGCCGGCATCGGGGATCGAACTCAGGTTGCTCGAGTATATTGAATTAAAGGCGAGCGCCCGGACACTGAGCTATCACGGCTGTCTAATGTGACACTATAAATTAATTAATTAATTTATTAACCTATTTACAACACAAATTAAACTTAATTTCCCATCTGTTATATGTCCACAAAATCAATCAAAAGGAAACAATAAATTCTCAACTTCAAAGGATCAATCTGTGTATTTATAGTTAACATAATTAACGGTTAGATATTCGCTAAGCACTCCAACAATCCTTTTGACGTTTGAACTCAAGCTTGTGACTATTTGACCATTTGGCCTAGTAACTGTATAAACTTTTGACCTCCTTTGACCTTTTGACCTACTAACCATTTCACCTTTTACCCTTGCGATGACTTTTGAACTCAAGCTTGAAATTATTTGATCTTTTGACTATTTAATCTTTTGACCTCCTTTGACCTTTTGACCTACCAAACTTATTACTTACCCTTGTAACGTACTATTGACCCTTTGATCTACCAACCTTTTTGTTTTTTAAGTACGCCGTGAGAAACCACTCAGAGTGGAATACTCTATCTCATTTAGACCCAGGACATTATCGTTTCAGGTTACTTCAAGAAGCAGGGCTTCAGCAAGGACATAAAGCTGCCGCGCGCCATGTACCAGGGCTACATAAAAGACTACGAAGGCGCCACTCTGATGCACTGCGAGCTGAACCCGCGCATCGTCTACACACAGTTCACCAGCGTCATACGCAGACAGAAAGAGGTACTCTACTCCTTGACCTTGTGCTATCCTGGTGATCGACACGCAATAATCGTGCCTAAAAAGACAACAGGCCTGACACTTGTCATCTTCCATGACATGCTTATTACTTCTGCCCATATTTGTACACGTTATCTAGTCTCGCACTAAGCCAAGCTTGTGTTTGTTTGTGTACTACTTAAAGTAGCTCGTTGGCCTTATGTCGTCCTGGTGATCGACGCGCATTAACCGCGTCTTAGAGGACGACAGGCTTAGTGCTTGTCATCTTCAAGGACATGCTTTATATTTCAGGATATTGTACACGTTATCTAGTACCCAACTAATCATAGCATATTATGGGTAGCTTCGTATTTCATCGTTGAAGACTTGAATATACGGCACTCAGGTTTACCATTCAAACTGTGTAAATTTTTTTTTTTTTGGGAATAAGTTGGCAATCGGGTGGTTCTCTGATGTGAAGTGATTATCGCCGCTCATGGACACACCAGTGGAAACCTTTAAAAAAGTGGGCCCCGGTTTCTATTATTTATCTACAAATATTCAAGATTTATGTTTCGCGTCTGCACTGAATCATTTTGCCTCTGCACTCAGAGGCAAAATGATTTGAAATTAATCATTCCGGTGGTAGTATTAACCATCTTTGAGACACGTTGAAACACTGTCTCGGAGACTTATTAATAACCTTTTTATGTTAAGGCTTTGTAAAATGTTAATAATTCCGTGTTGTGTATTATATGACTCATCAGTTGCTTGAACTTACAGATCGTGAAGAAATTGATCGACATGCGTCAGAAGGAGATTAGGAAAATTCACCCGGGGCTTACTTGCTTCAAAGAGGGCGTGAGTGTCTTAATTACAATAAGAATTCTACCATTAGATTTAAGTTCGGTTGGAAATACTCGGTCTAAAGGATTTCTAAAGTTTATTACTTTTTAATCTCCTCTTGCTCTCCTTCACTATTTAAGATAAAATTTAACAATTTTTAGAAATGTGTACACAGGTTACCCAAACCCTGCAAAGGCAAAATAAAATTTATTTATAATATTTTTTGTTAACTTCTAAAGGATATCTCAATGTATTCACATCTTACTGGACTCTGTACGCAAAGCAAAAATTGTACTTATCGCAAAAGCAGCACTTCATGAATCCTTCATAGAAATGAATGTAACAACAGTTGACTAATGACACTACAATAATCAATGATTGTTGTTGTCGAAAATTTGCGAGTAATTTAATATAAATAAAATATAAATTTCCGTTGTCATTATCAGGTGCGCAGTATCCCGGTGGAGTGCATTCCGGGGCTTCGCGAGAGTGGCTGGCGGGGCGCCAGAGGCACCGGCGGGGAGGCCGAGCCGGACGCCGAGCACAGCGTGCTGCGCGCCGTGCTGCACGCGGTAAGTGACAGCCCTGTCACGTGTCCATCGCGACTCGCTCTGGACTCTTCGACTGGTCTATCGAAAGGACAACATGGCGCGCCGTGCTGCACGCGGTAAGTGACAGCCGTGTCACGTGTCCATCGCGACTCTCGCTCTGGACTCTTCGACTCGTCTATCGAAAGGACAACATGGCGCGCCGTGCTGCACGCGGTAAGTGACAGCCGTGTCACGTGTCCATCGCGACTCGCTCTGGACTCTTCGACTCGTCTATCGAAAGAACAACATGGCGCGCCGTGCTGCACGCGGTAAGTGACAGCCGTGTCACGTGTCCATCGCGACTCGCTCTGGACTCTTCGACTGGTCTATCGAAAGGACAACATGGCGCGCCGTGCACGTGGTAAGTGACAGCCCTGTCACGTGTCCATCGCGACTCGCTCTGGACTCTTCGACTGGTCTATCGAAAGGACAACATGGCGCGCCGTGCTGCACGCGGTAAGTGACAGCCCTGTCACGTGTCCATCGCGACTCGCTCTGGACTCTTCGACTCGTCTATCGAAAGGACAACATGGCGCGCCGTGCTGCACGCGGTAAGTGACAGCCGTGTCACGTGTCCATCGCGACTCGCTCTGGACTCTTCGACTGGTCTATCGAAAGGACAACATGGCGCGCCGTGCTGCACGTGGTAAGTGACAGCCCTGTCACGTGTCCATCGCGACTCGCTCTGGACTCTTCGACTGGTCTATCGAAAGGACAACATGGCGCGCCGTGCTGCACGCGGTAAGTGACAGCCCTGTCACGTGTCCATCGCGACTCGCTCTGGACTCTTCGACTGGTCTATCGAAAGGACAACATGGCGCGCCGTGCTGCACGTGGTAAGTGACAGCCCTGTCACGTGTCCATCGCGACTCGCTCTGGACTCTTCGACTGGTCTATCGAAAGGACAACATGGCGCGCCGTGCTGCACGCGGTAAGTGACAGCCGTGTCACGTGTCCATCGCGACTCTCGCTCTGGACTCTTCGACTCGTCTATCGAAAGGACAACATGGCGCGCCGTGCTGCACGCGGTAAGTGACAGCCGTGTCACGTGTCCATCGCGACTCTCGCTCTGGACTCTTCGACTCGTCTATCGAAAGGACAACATGGCGCGCCGTGCTGCACGCGGTAAGTTGACAGCCCTATCAGGTGCCCGTCGCGACTTTCGAAATAGCGAGTCTATTTTTCGACTCGCCTATACGGTATTCGGTATGCGACATACGACGGTGAGAGCCAATTGGCGCCGCGCACACCCCTCTAGCCTCCCCGAGATACCTTACCCTTTGACTTCTGCGCGATAACAGTCGGCGATAGTTTCGTGCCGCACGTAGATCTGAGACAGATCGTAAAAAAAGAACCTAGTCAATTACCACAGACATCATTATTCACTTGTCGTGCCGTCTTCATCTAAGTGGGATAAGGACAGCAGAATGATATCGTAATAGTGTTGAATTTTTGTCCCAGGTTAAGAATCATGCGGCGGCGTGGCCATTCCTAAAACCAGTCGACAAGTCCGAGGTGCCAGATTACTACGACCACATCAAATATCCCATGGGTAACTTTTCCATACATTAAATATAGTTTACAATTACACTAGATGTTAAAATAATTCATCAACAACTTTGTTTAAAAACTCAATCATACCATCCTTTTAGCTTTTAACAGTCTTTTTTAAAACATATTAATTTTTATATAGCAAATCTTATCCTTAAGATGAAATTTTATTAGAAAAATGGATCAAGTCACTGAACTAAACGGCTTATTTTCGCAACGTATTTTATCTACTTTGCATGTCATCAAATGTGTTTTCTTCACAACAACCAACCGAAACTTGTAGAAAAATGTATAAAAACCTTTTCGTCCATTTTTCTGCTAATTTTTATCGGGCCTCCAAACATTAGTAAGATAATTTTGAACATGTAAAATAACCCATTTCTATTGTCTCCCTTTATCCAGATCTGCGCACTATGGGCGAAAGGCTGAAGTCCCGTTACTACGTGTCTAAGAGGCTCTTCATAGCAGATATGACGAGGATATTCACCAACTGCCGGCTCTACAATTCCCCGGACACAGATTACTACAGGTACTAACATATTTATCGATGAAGCACCGTCTATATGTACACTGAATACTACAATAAAACTTTAAATTGCGACAAGCTATTACTGATATAATTAAACTATTAATGATATATATTTCATACAGTTTATGTTATACAGCGGCTGAAACTAATTGGACTTAAATATAATAGACAACGCATTTGGATCTCTATTGTAATTTTGATTAAAATGCCAAAAAAAGTGAGAATTATCCTATACTGTCGGATGCTCTAAGAGACTTGTGAATTTGTAATTCATTATGAAGGTACCCTTCACTTAACTTTTTAATGTTCTGAAAATATTATCTGTACCTTACCTAGGCCTTTGCCCACCAGTGGGACATATTAAAGGCAAGTCCACACAGACAGTCAGCTTCCTTAGCACATAGAGCCTAGTTACTTACATTTGGTAACTCGCTCTAGGCTTTTTATCTAAACTATATTATGGTTATTGTTGGCATGTTGACGAGATGTCACCAAAGTAACTCTAAAACTGCTAATTATATTAAATGATAACATACCCTTGAAATTAATTGAACGCTTCACTCTCTTTCAAGTGGACGGAGTAATGGTTAAAATATATATACCGGTGAGTTTATTTGGCCCCCTCTTCTCAGGTCCGTGAATTTTCTTTTCCGAACCCGTGGTACTATTTTGTCTATCAATAAGTGTGGTTACTGCTTCTATATTGATATTGAATTTGAATATAGACAACTCACATCATGTCGGGGTCTTTAAATAAGTCAAGCTCATGTTTCATACTCTGTAAAAATAAGTCGAGAGTATAATACTGTATAAATAATTGCATAATTTGCGGCTACAGATGCGCGAACCTCCTTGAGAAATACTTCCACACCAAGATGAAGGAGGCAGGCCTGTGGGACAAATGATTGGAGCTCTTCGGCTTCGACGCTTTCTTTGTTAGGGAACTTGCGGCGAGCTTGGCCACGCCCACCCAATGCCCAACAGTGGGCAGAATCAACGTATAGCAATTTTCTCTTCTGGTCTTCAATTTACTCATAAGGTATTGCAGACTTAACTGTTAAACACCAATTAAAGAGAGAATTATACTATAAGATATAGGGCTGTTCAGAATATTGCTACTAGAATTAGGTTTTTTAATATAGTATCAGCTGAAAGTTTATCGTATGTTGCATGCCTTTTCAATAAAATACAAACGATGGGATCCAGTATCCTCCCACCGAAAGTATTTATTGGTATGTATTTATTAACTATTTTATATGAAAGCTCCATTTATGTTATATACTTCATGACTTTACAATTATGTATTTGCAATGTTTTATTTCAGAATAAATTTAAATCTGAACGCATATAAGTGTATTCTACATAATTAGCAGAAATATATTTGTATGCACATAAAACTGTAAACTTTTTGCTTAATACATTTAACTCCTTGGTATAAAAGTTATAATTAGGTTTAGGCTTTTTAAACAATGAGGGTGGTATCAAAGTCAAAGTCAAAGTATATTTATTCAATATAGGCCTAACTTAAACTCTTATTGAACGTCAACAAAAGATCTATCACTATATGTGAATATAGACAGGATCAGATCCAGTGCGAATTTATTTTTGCCTGGTGAAATGCCATTAACCGAATGGAAAAATGTCAATCTATTGTAAATATTCACAATAACTCTTGGGAATGTCTGGAAACATACATTGCATTAAAGCAACTTTTAATAATGTATATATTTAAATATAAGTAACTTAGCTTTAGTTATACTGTATTAGTATTGAGCAATGAAGAAAATTCTTTTACATTTGTAATATAATAATATTTACGCATTTGTAAACATTTTATCAAACATTCTATGAACATGTTTCAAGTTTTTTCCAATTTTTATAAAGTAAGAAAATAATAAAAAAAAAATACTAACGATTTTCTCCACATTTCCATCGTACATATTAAAAATTCAATAATTATATGTCACTAACAAATTTGATTTGCAACTCGATAAATCGATGTTACCGTGAAATTATGTAAAGAAAAAAAAGAAGACAAGACTGAACTATTGTTGTTTCCTTTTCATTGAGATTTACTTTTCTACCCTTACTAACAACCTCATAATCTCTAAGTGATTCAATATAAATATTGTTTTTTTGATTTTATTAAAAACTTTTGGTTATATTCATATAGTGGACAAATCATCAATGACCATCATTTACAGAAATCTTCTCATTTAACGTTTTAGTGTGTATGTTGTAGTATAACAATTGTATGCTTAGTTACCGGATAATAAAGTAGGGGTTTTAATACATTTGATCTGTCATTAAAATTAAAGTTGCTGAAGAATAGCTTCATATTTATGTAGATTTAGTAGTTCCCAACTATTGCTACAGACAACTGGGAGATACTGCGATTATTTATTATTCAATCAATGAATGTTAATAGATAAATTGTTTTTCTAGTTGAATTTGTAGATAGAATTTTTTGTACTCGAATTGTTGGAACGTTATGTTCTCTTTTTATAGAATGCTGAATGCATAGATTATATCTGGTGAGGTTCTATTTTTAACTTCTAATTATTTTACAAATATAAATTTAATCTCGTCCGTCAAAGCTGTCAAAGCCGCCGGGCTAACGGCAAACTACACGAAAAGAAAAAATGTTCAACTATCTTATGACAATATAGTTTAGTTTAAAGTGTAGAATTCATTTAACGTTAATAGAGTGTATTTGTAAATATTGTTTTTGTATAGTTATAAGAATTATATTGTGATAAATAAAATAAAATTGGTTTTTACTTAACACTGAATTGTTCTTGCCCTATTTTAACTAGCAAATACCTGTACATAACTGTTACAGTTACTTATAAAGTACGATATTTTCCATTACAATCAAATTAAAATTTGATAAATTTTAAGCCCGAGCAATGAAACGCAAATCTCAATACTGTATTGGTTTTTATTTTAACATTTGATGTACACACTTCGGGAGTACGATTTAGAACATTTTCAATTAGGGAATGTAAATATATTTTTAAACCATAAGCTGTTATATTACAGTAAAGTACATACCAGTCTCCTTGTTAATATAAAATCCGATGGATTTCGCATAAGTACCTTAGGCGTAGGGCGTTAACTTAAATGCTCACTTATAATAATACTTAAACAAGAATTTGCTTAATCCAAAAAAAATATGAACGAAATACATCGCTTGTTATCAAACCATTTTATTAAAATTGATTATATAGCTTTGGTTGAAAAAAAGTGGGAGCGATATGAAACAAAAAAGATACATATGTTTTAAACAAAACAAAAAAAGTGACATAACTCGTAGTTATTTCCGACTAGATTATTTTTATCTATCATTTCCTTAGAGCCACAAAATAAATGTAGTATGTGATACAGTCTGTTTACCGCTTTAGCCTAGATCAACATGGTGAAAAGTGTACAATGGCCCAGACAATTTGTATCCGTATAATGCATAATAATTTAAAAGTTAGGTGATCTTTATCATTTTTAGATCATGACACCATAAGTAACTGATTAAATTAAATGATTTTTTTGCATTTCGCGAATATGCATTATTAAAGGAAACTAATTTTATTTCTTTTATCGCGCTAAACATTAAAATTCATAGTGGTATGCAAAGCATTCGTAACGTTCAGAATTAAAATTTGAATTAAACGCGAAACAGGCCGTAAAATAGTTTCATTTAATAACATAAAGTATAATGTTTAGCTTAAGCCAAAACCTCACCATCTAACACTATAGGTACAGCATGAGCTCCTGTAGTTTTAATATAATTATTTTTATATAACTTCAATTATACAAAAACTACAGAAGTATAAAAATATGGTATATTAGACCAAACTCTTAAATTCATATTAAGTAATAAAATCGTACAATCAGTCGTTTTATGTTAAGGTCGAGCACAACGTGTAACTTAAATGTTGTAGTAGGTAAGTAAGTTGTATGAACAAATAACCAATTATGTGAGTCTAATTAATATTTTATAGCGGTGGCTTCATGATTTAAGTGTTTTAATAGAACTATTAGTAATGATGTTAATATCAGAATAAAGAAGAAGGTTAACAAAGCAATGACAGTCAAACGTTATATCTATGGACGGATAGCCTTACTCCAGAGACAAACGTTTAGCTTCCTAGGGCCACCACAACCAATACGTTCTTACAATTTACATACAAAATTAATATTTTGATTGAATACATTACTAGAAAACGAATGGCCACTAGTCGACAATTTAAATGAACTGTCGACTACATAACAATTCGCTTGCAGTACAATTATCTTTACAGCAAATACTAGTAACTCGTTCATATTCCCAAAAGATGGAGAGAAAAAGTTAAATAAACTGTGATGAGTATCAAATAAGATTTATAACACGTTTTCCAACTCTATTATTTCCTTAACTCTATGTTTTAACGGAAGACTATTGAAGACGTGAAGTTGACAAAAGCATCACTGAATGTGGTCCTTCGGGCAGGATTAATGATCCGTTGCTAAAGCGGTCGACGACCGCAGAAGCGCCAACTGACCCGCTTCACTACGTCTCAGTTTCTTAGGAAAATCGCCAATAGTATTTGCTATAAGCGTCGAGCAATGTATACAATTTTAACACATGACATGTTATTGAACGATATTCAACAATAAAACCATTTCAATGTGGACCACATTGAAATGGTTTTAGTATGCATGTATGAGATCAACCGGAAGTCTTCACCATTTAAGTACAACATGACATCGGCTCGTGAATCCACAAGAATGGCGTAAATGTATTAAACGTCACGAGAACACTATTTCGTTGACTAGGCGGAGTCGCGGTCTTGCCTAACTAATAATTAACTAATTACTTCCTTATAAAACAAACAATGTCCATCGCATATACAAAAATATCACTTGTCGTCCACCTGAACTACCGCTAACGTCACTGGAGTCCACAAGCACTATGTAAGGGATTTTTTTTTGTTTTTTTTTTTTTTGAGTATTTTTTTTTGTTATTTTTTAAACTAAACTACGTCGCGATTATTTCGTAAATGAACACATAACGTCTCACTGTTTAACACTTACACTTGGACTACATACATTCTTCGTAAGACTCACTCCTCGGCGCTTTGCGAATACGGCTTGATGATTGTCATTTCACTCTCAAGTCAAAATTGATGAATTTTCACTGCAGTCATGCCAGTTTGTCATTGACCCCGATAGATGAACCGTTAATTTTTCAGCGAAATTTCGGCCCAATATCTTCACATTTAAATAATCTGACATATGGAAGGTCAATTGCTAAGGTGAAATTAAAGTTCGTCAAACGTCACGATTGATTCCTCCCATTTGAATCCACGGTGCCGTAACCGGAGCAGGGATGAAGGCGTTGAGCCATTACGCCAACACGGCAGGCACACTCACACATGCGTCTAAACTTACGAATGGAGTTTGGCGAACACACAAATGTTCGGTCCAGCGGACCGCCATGCGTCACAGGTGAGTGTCGATAGTTTGGCAAACGTCACAGTTTCATTGGTGCGGCCGAGGGCCATCCGTTCGGGTCACACGCAAATCACTCATGAGGCTGGAGATGGGGAGTTTGGCAAACGTCACAATTGAATGATGGGCGAATGCGCCAACGTCGAACCCAACCCTCAGTCGTGGGCGTCGTTGGCGACGCTGACGGATGCCGTCTCCTGCCGCGAACACTCCGCTCTGGGGCTGCCGGACGGTGAAGATGTACAGGACCTGTGACAAATTCAAATTCATTCACACTTACTTATTGATTGTAATTGTAAATGCTACTACCGGTTCGAAAAAGATAAAGATTACGAACACTGATGCCCATTTTCACAATCGATCTCTAACTTTTAAGGGTCGCCTAAAAAGTGCTGGAGTGCTGGTTTCGTTTTCACCACCGCTTAGGTGTCACGCTCTTAAGCATGACACTAAAGCGTAATGACACTTTACGTGCACTTACATTTTTTAGGTCTCGCTTAAAGTTATAGATCGATGGTGAAAACGGGCACCAGTCAAATAAGTATGCTGACTTTGATTGTACGTTTTTTCTCATTGTAATATTTTTCTTTTTCTTTATTCAAACATTTTTTTTTCTCTGTGCTTTCAATTTTGTAATTTTAGCGTTTAACTTTTGTCTCATTATTATATGGTGACGGAATAAACGTCTTTAATGTCTTCCAACGCTCTAAATCGCAATTACGTTTTACGTTACCCTAACGTTATAGGCTTTACAGAAGTCATCCGTGTTGTTGCAATTTATTATTGCGCTCTACACGTACGGTACCTAGAAGTCGTGCGTGTTCTTTGTTGCTGCAATTTATTACGGCGCCCCACTCGTGCGGTACCTGTGGTGGTCGGGGCTGGCGTGCGAGTCGTGCAGCGACGGCACCAGCTCGTCGGGCGAGGACGCGCGGCTGCTGCGCTCGCTGCCCGCCTCGTACGAGTTGTCGCTCGTCAGCTGCAACACGGACGCCTCGTAAAATATCCGGGTTACGAATGTCCGGCTAGAAGGACCTGGTCCTTCTAGCGGGACATTTCCAAAACTAACCAAACATATTAGCCGGCGGAAAGTGTGTTCGATTTCGATTCAATGAGTTCGATTCCAATAGTACAGTACAGTAGGGGTAGTGGTTAAAAAAGCCCACACTAAAGTGCGGAACAGTTGAATGTGGGCTTATTGTTTCTAAAAAAGAATAGAATGTACTGTATTGGAGAGAGGAGGAAAATCAGGAGGTACTTACTAGTGTGAGCGGGTGGCGATTCCTCGCTGGGCTGAGCGCTCGGCTACGAGCCTCCTCCACCTCCAGCTGCAGAATGCTCTCCTGGCTACCGGTGAACTGGAACACAAGGAAGTATAATGAGCTATGTATGGCCTTGTTAACAATACCTTATTTTACTTTATTATAGGTAGGCTTATTCATAATCTTAATACTACAACAGGTTTTCTCAGTCGCAGCGGTCGTTGAGACTTACTACCCAAACCCTTCCACGTAAATCATAGGCATGCTTCTCAGTGTGAGATCTACATAATATTCCGGAATATAAAGTCATTGGTGGCCATCGTTAAATTAGGATGTAATTAATATCACGGGATAACATATATTACATCCCACAGTGTATGTAAAGCCACCCTAACGCCGCACGCCATATGCTCATCACATCTATGTATTACATTGCGTCTTTATATAAATGCCACAATGATTCGGTTGCTGAGTTGTTAAGCTATTGGCTTCGGCGCCGGCGGTCGTGGATTCGATTCACACACGGGATAAGTATTTGTTTGACCCACAGATAATTATTCCAGATCTGGGTGTTTGTTCCCAAGGAGGGTTTACGGCCTACAACATGATTCACAAGTTGTGCCGACCTCACTTAAGTGGGATAGGGGCAAGAGGATGATGATGATATTAATATTCCACGACCTCCAACTAATTCAAATATGCACCTATTAATATGATCCTTTCCTTTTTGTAACATAATTATGTCTTCATAGCTAAAGCACGACAAAAATTAAAAGAACTCTTTCAAATGAAGTAATTACCAATAGCCCAGATACTAGACAACGATCACAAAGTAAGGTATTTTTACCGAAGTAATCATAATCTAATAGAAATGCATATCGGGTCAAAATCCCTCACTCACCACGAAGCCATAATACTTGAGAATGTCCATCTTGCACATTGGACATGTACGGTGCTCTAACAACCACGGATCGATGCAGTTCTTGTGGAAGTCATGTCTGTAGAATAGAACAATTTTTTAGTCAGCGTGTATGATTTTATTCATCATTCATCATTTATCATTTCCATTAAATACCACAAGATATACCACTAGATCTATGGGTGGTATCAGACTACGTGTGGGCTATTGAGTATTGTATGCCGTATTCAATATACTCGAGCAACCTGAGTTCAATTCCGGGTGCCAGCAACAAGTAAATTGTTAACTTTAAGTGCTGACTTATCACGTGCTCAACGGTGAAGGAAAACATCGTGAGGAAACCTGCATATTTTCGTAATAATAACAAAAAAAATATTTCGAAAACGTGTTGCTCGCCAATCCGTAGTCTGGTGCATGTGGACTAAGCCATAATGCCCTCTGTACAGAGGAGGTCTTTGCTCAGCAGTGGGACATATATAGACTGTAACTTTACTTTATTACTTTGTATTCAATATGACAATATAGCAATGACAAATTTTATGTTTTCACTGATACGTACACGTACACGCACACATAGACAAATTAAAAAAATCAATTAATTAAATGAATGACAGCCATTGGTGATCAAGCTTCAACATCGAGGGTTTCATCTTTCATCTACGAATTCCTAAATATAATGTAAACATATTTCATTTGGATAAGGAACATATAATACTGTATTATAAAGCAATGCGTTCATCGGTTAGTATTAATTGGGTAAAATAAAAGTGTATTAAATTAACTCAAACGCATGATAACGTCCGTCCTGAAAGTTGACACACACACACACGCACGATATGAAATAAAAAACTGCCGACCCACCTACAAGGAAGAGATCTTAAAGTCTCCGAAACTTTGTAGGGCTCAATGCAGATAGCGCAGCATTCGCCGTCTCCTTGTACTTCCTGAAGGGAGAAAGAGACACACGTAAAATTAGACCGACCAAGCCAAGAAGAAAGAATTGCCAAATTAATCGGAAATAAACAAAATTTAAGGACACCCTTAACACAGTACAAAGTATATCACGTACAAAGAATATCACAAGTAATAATGTTCATCTGTGGTAGGGCCACGCCACATTCTTTGCTGTTGCACGAATGGGCAGGTCCGTTCGGGGTAGTACCACGACCTCACAGAAGACCGGCGTGAAGTTGAGGTTGTACTTCTGCGTTTCGTCTCGTGAGTGAGGTAACCGCGGCCCCTTTTTTACCGTTGGCAGCTCAACTGTTATTCGTCAGGTGTTGTAGATATGTCTATGGGCGGTGGGGGTCACTTAACATCAAGGATCGCCTGCTGTCTTGACAACTTTAAAATAAAAAAAATTACTTAGTAAAAAAATTACTTAGTAATTTTTTTTTAATTTTAAATATAAACTATATTAAGTCATAATTAACTGAACTCATTTTTTTCAGCAGATTAAATTTTGATTACAGCAAATTATTTTATTAACAGTTTTGACAATTTAGCTTTCATTCATTTGTTATCTATAGGTCGTGTAATGTTGCAACTTACTCTGTCGTCAGTCTTTAAGCTTTTGGTGGGAATTTTCGAAAGCGCCTTTTTGGCCGCGCAACAGAGCCGCTTCTGTAAAGAGAATACAACGAAAAATCTAAATTGGCTGGTAGTAATGATGTATGATATTTAATTTTTTACAAAATCTATGATTTTTTTTTATAAAATCTATGATCAATATGTTTCTATTATGTAATACCATCGTGGGATATTTATGTCGACTTAAACAACACAAACAAATAAAAAAAATCAACTAACTACTTTCATATTTATAGTACGCGGCGTTTAAAAATTCATTCACATTCATTATTTATATATGACATATATGAGCGAATGTGACAGATAATATGATACTGAAAGGGATAGCAGTCAAATAGCATTGCAGTCTAATTACACCAATTGGCGTAATTCGAGTGCCTCCATTTCGGTGCGCTAGTTTCATGTCTATCTCGTGTTTGTATATAACATCAAGGGAAACGAGGCGAATAGGGGACATTGCTTTGGCAAATCGAGGGCTACTTACAGAGAGGCGGTCCTTAGCGTGGATGTAACGGAAGCGCTGTATGTAGTAGAAGACGAGCCAGGCGAGGGAGATCACCATCAGCACTATGAAGGATATCGACACGAAGAGCACCGAAGTTCTGCGGCAGAAAAGTAAATGGACCGATTAGAATGCGACTAATGATAATAACAGTATAAATCACTAGCTGCTGCCCGCGACTACGTCTGCGTAGAATAGGCTAAAGGCGTAACATTCAGACACAAAGACAGATATACAAAAAATATGTATATAAATTATAGCATATATATGTGTTATTCTGATGTATAAGCTATATTATTGTATAGTTTAATTAAAATCCATTCAGTAGTATTTGCGCGAAAGAGTAACAAACATCCATTCATACATACAAACCTTTGCGTTTATAATATTAGTAAAGAAGTAAGGATTTATTTTAACCAGCAACGTAATGGGTTATACAAAATATTTAAAAAGCTTAGAATTTAATTGAATTCGAAAGTTTTCGCTAAACGTTCTTACACTTCTATCGTGCGTACTGAAACGTAAAATAACACAGAAATTTTGCCTCGGTTAAGATATTGCTTCAATATATCTTTAATAGGAATTAAATACATAAAAATGGGACTATACAGACAAACATTTATACGAAAATATTTATAATGAAATATATATTATGGAACATTATATGAAATTATGAAACAGAATAATTTATTCTGTTTCATAATACGAGAGTCAGTATTTTTGCCTTGTGTCGCAAGACTGTTTTTCACATAAAAAAACTCGCAACTTTGTTATGGACACGATTTTGATGAAATAGGGCAAAAACGTCTTGAACTGACTAACTAACTTGAACTATTGCGGTATGATCGTACCACTACTAGAAAGTTTAAAAAGACTCAGTACTAGCGTTCAAGAACATTGTAATTGCTGTTGTTGTTTTTTTCAATGGTATAGCCAAAAAAAAAAACATTAACAGATTTCAACAGTTAAGGATGACGTAAATATTTACTTGGGTGATACGAAACAACATAAAAGATTCAAGAATAGATAAGTAGAGTGGAGAAACGACTAGTAGATAAAAGGCGTGTACGCCCGCTTCCTATATTAACAAAACGAGGCGCTTTCCTTACGAGCCGTTGCATTACATATGGAAAGTGAGTTACTAACGTTCCTTTAATCTACAGATCGTTATGAAAGTTACGAAGCTATGTAACTAACGGCCGTTCATTGAATATAGGAACCGGGCATTAGTCTTGTTCTAGAAGCTTGTGAGGGTAATGTGGAGAGGCGGCTTACTTGTTGATGTTGTTGTTGATGTGGGTGAAGGTCCGACCTTTGATGATGGCTATCATGACCCTGGTGCCGTTGTCCGCCAGCTTGGTGATCTCCTCGCCCTTCCATTTGTAAGTGAAAACGGCGCTAATGTTGCCTGTAATGAGCGGACATTCGAATAAGTCCAATAAACTGCGATAACGTCGTTTAGTCAAAGAAAGAAAGAAAGAAATTTTATTTGGTACAAAAAATAACAACAAAACAAGGAAAAATTATCAGTCAATGCACTAAAAGGTAATGCAGGTGTTACATTGCGAAAAAAATTCGCGATTGCTGGTTTTCAGTGGAGCCTGGAGAGGTCGATAGATGACGACGATGACAGATAATAATAACAATAATTAAACAATAAATAAATAATAAGCAATAACAAATTTAACAATAAAAGATTATTAATAAATATAACAACATTTTGCACATTTAATTTTTGGACATGCCTCTCTATGTATCAAAATCAAAATCAAATTCAAATGTATTTATTCAACATAGGAGCATTACACTCACTTATTGATAGTCAAAACACTACCACGTATGTATTTGTGTGTGCGTGCGTGTGTGATTTGTATGAGCGATTGGGATTATAAGTATGTTTGGAACAGAATACCTTGATTTTGAGCCGATGAGCTTAACTGTGTTTAGCCCACCGGTTCCGCGTTCGATGAAGCTTTAATAATCTAAGGACTGAAATTGTAACATCAGTTATACAAATTCAAATACAGTGTTTTCAAAATGGAGGTGCACGCGGTTTGGGCTCGATCTTTGTACGGGACAAATGTTTGCTCGATGCATGGACGTTTGTTCCGAGTGTGGGAACGCATTGAATAAGTAAAAAAATATATTAATTTCCAATCAATACATTATTTCTTCCCTCTGTTCAGTAGAATCTTCTTGATTTTTGTAATTAAGTGATCCAAAAATTCGAAAACTAATTAGCCATGTGTCTCGAAGCTGTGATCTTAAAACTTTAGCAGAGATTCTCCTCCTTCAGGAGCTATATATGTATTCTCTAACTTATTTTATAGTAAAATTCTTTGGGTTAAGTAAACACGTAACAAGTTACAGTACAGTACAGACTTAGTAATTAATTAATAAGTTGCGTCATCACTGAGCCTTGTTTGCGCAAAATGTTGACTTCAAGGAAAACGTTTGACATTCGTTTTCACAATAGAGAGTGAACATGAATTGTCTTAAATAGGCTTTACCCCGTTAATGTTTTAATTACAGATAAATATTGTTACGCCATCGTGATAGACGTGGCTTTCGTGTGCCGATAATTGTTGCCTACAAACTGGTGAATCAAACGGGTTGATTGTTTTAACTGCCGAAGCAAAATGTCATAAGCGTTACTCCATAAACATGAAACTATTTTCAAATCCCATAAAGGAACGCTTTTGCCACTCCTATTTAGTGGATCCATAGACTACTTTTTTTTTATGCCAAAAGTTGCCTAGCGAGCAGGCGGTTCACTTGATGTTAAGTGAATACCGCCGCCCATTGATATTTGCCACACCCGAGGTTTGAAGATGCGTTGACAACCTTTTGAAAATTGGGCTCTGGCCACCTCATTCACCACATGAAATGCGAATTTCCATTTTACGCCGATCTTCTTATCTGTGAGTGGTACTTTTCCGGACGAGCCTGCCCATTCGTGCAACAGCCGAGGCTGCTGCGTGGCCCTACCACAGTTAAACTTCTTTAGACATAAGTAAACAGTCCATTCATTATCCATTTTATTTAAAAAAAGGCTTAAATTAGTAAAATCATAATAAATCGTGATTAATTTGTTAATGATATAATAATCGTTCTCTTAAGAAAGATATCAAATCTTAGCACATGATTTGGAATTATAATAATTTGCTTACGTAAGTTATACAATTACCATACCAATCTGATAAAATTTTATCTGGTTCAGAGATAAGACTTGTAGTAAACCACATGGTCAATAAAAATATAATATAAACATTTAAACATTTTTATGAATCTTATAAAAGATTACTGAAAATCCTCCGGGGAATCCTATTTTGAGTAATTAATGTAACAGACGATATTTGAATCAAACAATAGACAGTATATTGCCTGCTAATATATTAATCTTTGAATTGAACAGCGGCTTTTACAGTATTCCTGCCTTTTTGTAAATACTAAAAATCACTTGGTACAAATAATTTTAGCAGATGTCATTTAAATGCGGATGATAATAATTAACAAATTGACTAAAGCTTCTAAACTTCTTCCCCATTTATCGGTTCTACGAGCTATATGGTCGGCCCATTGCCTTGAGCTTACCAATCCTCTGAGCTATATCGGTTGTCTTTCTTCTATTGACTAAATATATTAGTATAATTATATTTATAAAGGAATCTTAGCACGATCTCGTGCTATTGGCGATTAATTTACAACCGAAATATTAGTCATGTTTTATTTTATTTTATTGGAGATACCAAACAGATTATATGATATAAACAGAAAATCTGCTGCGTTGAAGTAGTAATAATATTGCAGCCTACTAAATTATCCACGTATTGAACATATAATATTATTTTAATGGAAGCTACTAGAACGTTACAATTAGTAAATACAAATATATAGCAAAAAATGTTACAATAATGTCGCGTTATTTTCGAAACTCTGCCTACGTCGTTACAGTTTGACGGTTACTAAGGCCATTGTGTTTAGTCCTATCGTCTTATCTTTATACTTGAGTCACCTCCGTGCTCAGTTTCATTGTGAGATCACAACCTGATAAGTCACATTCAGAGGAAGAGTTACGCAACAATGGCTTCAATGCAAACTTCTTGCTAAATATTATTTTTGAAGATTGGCGGCCGATAAGCGGTTGTTTGGGAATAAAGACACGAGCGTATTGAACGTCATTATTCAGTGGTATCAAGAACCGCTGGTTTATTGAATCTGACATTCGCATACTTACGTGTGAGAGAAAACATGTGTGTGTGAGTGTGTACTTATGTACGAACATAAGAAGGTATACTTCTTTAGCGTAACAAAAGAAAAATCGATAAACATTTTATCCCGTGCGCCAGTGCTCTTCGTTTGTGAATAAAGAGGCATTAAATGCAGTTGATAACGGTTTAATTAAATAACTTAGAATTATAGGCAAATATCAAAAATTTATTATTGGTTGCTATGGTAACACCATGAAGGTTGTTTCGTTTTGGTGTCGCGCATCGTAAAAATTCATTCCTACCATTTCTCAACATTTAATACCAATATAGGAACAGTAAGCCCGTAATAGTTGTAATGAAGGACATATTGTTAATAGTTGCACTAGAAACGATATCTTGCACAAGTCAATGAATTAATTTAAAGAAATGTAAATGAATTTGATGCACAATGTCCTTCTTTTAAATTTTCGCAACAAGTTGCCTTTAATTCTGTTTCTGAATGCCTTAATTGCCCCATTTTTTTGTAATTAACTTCTTATTAACATACACTTAAAATGTGTATTCTTTTAACCGTATTTCTTTTATAATTTAAATAATAAAGAAAACCTGTAATGTCCACACTTAAAATGTTTTATGTTTTCATATCTACATATTGTGCCTATGCTATTAACGTAAGATACAATAATAAATAAATAAAAAAACTGTCAGTCCTATGTATGACTGCACATCAGAAGTGAAAACTTCTTAGCTTTACAAACATTTTTGAAGAAAAACTTTTTACTTCAAAAATCGACAGCATAAAGCCAACGTCACGCGGTCACCCATCGAAGTACTGACTGCGCCCGACGTTGCTTAACTTGTAAACGGTGATTGGACGACAACCAATGTATGTGTTACTATACATAATTTTTACATTAGTACCATTTTGCGGTTGTCGATGACTCGCCATACCATTTTGACCAAATTGCCCAAATTGCCCAAAGTGCCTATAAAAGGTTTCACATCCAAAATATATTTTTTCAGATCTGCACGTATCGTATACATGAACAATTAACATAACTCTAGATGAGCACATAAAGCTTATTTTTAGATCGGGCAAACAAGAAGGGAAGGTCGTTGGAGAGGCATTAGTTTACTAACATCATGAAGTGGATACTTTTTTGGTCGAATGACTAATCTCTTGAACTTATCATCGTCCTTCTGCCCATATCACACCTAGATAGGATCGGCATAACATGTGAATCTTATTTTAAGTGGTTTTGTCTATGTGTCTTGATTATGGTATAGTATTTTTACGACCGACTACGGTGGTAGGGCCACGCAGCAGCCTCGGCTGTTGCACGAATGGGCAGGCTCGTCCGGGTAAGTACCACGACCTCACAGAAGACCGGCGTAAAGTGGAAGTATAATGCTTTTGCTATTAGAGCTAACTACAGTAAAAGCTTCAATTAGAATTTCAGCTGTTTAGGTCAAGTTATAAAAGATCCTGGAATTGACCGTTCGCCGTTGTTGGCCGTCGAAAAATGTTAACTTTTCTTATTCACTTAATTAATTTGACTATAATGACTTTAACTGTTGTAGGGCCACGCAACAACAACAATGAATGGGCAGGTCTAGGGGACCACAAGCTCAAAGAAGACCGACGTAAAGTGGAAGTATAATACTTTTGCGTTTCGTGTGGTGAGATAGGTAGCCGGAGCCCACTTTATTAAGTGGCAACGCATCTACAACCATACTGGTGTTGCAAATGTCCATGGGTGGCGGTTATTACTTAACATCAGGTTAAACGCCAGCTCGCTTGCCACCTACTGACATAAAAAATCTGACAACGTCAGGGATATGGAAAATATGACTTACATTCAGCTGTACTAGTGATTTATAGACACATAAACACCTATTATCTCATTATTAGTGGATCACAAGGATTCACAATTTATATAAACACTAAAGTCCCCTCCATTGGATCAGTCTGTGTGCATGTGACTAATATAGGCTCAGGCGTGAGCGTCTCCTTGGCAGTGAAACCCGATACATTCGATCTAATTAACTCTGAGGGCCGATGCAATAGACTTGTCCAGCATTACAAGATCACGGCACGGGCTTCGTGAAATCATTCGCGTGCAATCAGTAGGCATAATCCTAGTCTAGTTTCCATTTGTGCCTTTACAATCTGTCTCTGACGTCAGCCATTTTGTTT